TCACCAAACTGGACAAATATTTCACTGATGAATTCTACAGTTAGCAGCAAATTGTGTTTTTCATGAGCATAAACTGACAGAGGGAAATCGGGTAACTTTGCATCTGGCCATCTGCTGGGGATCAGGCAATACTCTTGATTCATATTATTATTCTGTCTTGTTAATGTCTGGAGAACAGTCTGCTTTGTGTTTTCCATACACAGAAAATAAGCCCTCTGTTTTTGGTCAGGAAAGCGTAGTTTGGAATAAGGGATACCAATAGGAAATGAAATTGGGAAATATTGATATCCAAACAAGGGTGAGCTGGTAAAAGGATGTACTTTTAATCTTTTAAGACCAAACCTCATAGTAAAATTGCAGAATTCTGTACATTACAGAAACTTCTCTAAATATATCAGAATTTCTAAATGGTCTGTATTTGTTACGATGCATTTAGATGCCACTGTCTAGAGGTTAGTTTTGCATGAGACATACAGTGAAAATGCCACTCTTCTACTGTAGTTAAAGTTAGAGGTAGCCTTAATTAAAAAACAGTGTGTGCTCAGTGCCTTCATCATCCCAATGTCATCTTTCATTGGGGGCTGGGATTTAATAAGCAGAACACATTGTCAAACTTGGAGTGAATATGCTTTCATTTTTTGAAAGAATGCTTTTTTTTAATTTTATTTTGTGAGCTTTACTAGACCTATTTTTCCACTTACGTGTCAAAAGAGCTGAAGATTGTGAAGCCTGCACAGTTTAACTCTTTGTGAGAATGCGCTGAAGAGTAATTAAGCACAAAGGGGATGATGCTAAGGAAAATCGGTTTTCTGTTCAGTTTGATTGGCAACGTAGGTATTGGGACCTGACTTTGCTCTAAGTTTCCATTGAGAGATTATCAGAAATTTTGAAAAGGAATGACATCAGAGATTTGGGTCCAAGCAGTTAGAAGATTGCTTTTGTTTGATGTGAGAATGTAAAAAGGAAGAACTAAAATAAGCTGCTTTGCGTACCCCATATCACTTTTTCTCCCTGCCTAGTTTCTTTCACTAGTTTCTAAATAATATTTAAGGTATAGTCTCTCAGTCACTTGAAAAAAAGTTGTTTTTTTTTTTTTTTTCCTTTTTTTTCTGAAAGTGAATGGATCCAAAGCTCTGGCTTATCTTTCTTGTTTCCCCGTGACACCTAGATGCAAATAAATTTGCCCTTGGATTTTAGTGCTGCCACAGGAATTTTCTTCTTTTATTTTTTTGGTGGCTACAGCCAGTTCAACTGGGCTGTTGCTGTTCTAAACTTCACAGTGTATTCAGGGGAGCAAATGATGCTCCCACTATCAGCAGCTGCAAGTTTTACTAGTAGTCAGAGTGAAAATAAAAGAACTGCTGAAGATAGTATTAAACTCGGCATTTCTCCCTGGAGCCTATTTCTGCAATGGTACAAGTCTACCAAATAGGTCTAAATTTCTAAGCGAGGCTCAAATGAGGTGGGCTGTCATATCTATTTTAATAAATGTTTGAAACTGCCTTGGAACAAAACCAAGATTTTCAGAATTGTCTTATGTTCCATTTGACACAAAATTCATAGATAACTTTTTTTCTCATCGCATTTTGTTTAGAAATGCCATCCTGAACCTTGTGCACAGTATTTTTCTTCAAATTGGAGCTTTCAGAAAACATTAAGATTCTACTGAAGCAATTTTGAGTATGTCTGTTTGTTTGTGGGGTGGAAGGCTAGAGGAAATGTTTTTGAATGCTTTTGAGCAGCTGTAAACTGATTCCTATGAACTACCAATTCCTGAGTCCTAGTGTTCTGATTAGGAGGAATTCATCTGTGGAATCTATGGCTCTTCTAACATATGTATAGAAAAGGAAATAAAGAAGTTCAATGAATGACTGTTCTTTTCAAAGGGGTCAATAAGGTAACAGGAACATATTAATTGTAAATACTTCATAACACCTCTAAAACCACATATTTTTTTAGAATCTAAGCATAAGCAATTTTGTTTTCTTAGTTATTTTCCAGGTTCAGTGTAGTATGTGGGTATTCAGGAGAGAGAAAATCCCTCTTAAAAACAAACAACCAAAAAAAAAAAAAAAAAAAACACAGAAAAAGTGACACAACCAAAACAATATATTTTTGTTGGGAGATATTAGTATTCCAAGCTACTTCAGAAGGATATTGCTGTTTTCCTTTTGTCACCTATGCAAGACAGTCAGTGGCAGAACACCATTTGTCCCACCTGAAGTACAACTTTGTCATATGGAGTTGTATTGGTGATGGCAAAGATTAAACAAGTTCAGTGGGTTGTCGTTGTTCCAGTGAAACATAGTCTTTTGCTAAGGCTTCTCTCAGTTACAGTTTGGGAAAGCAGCTTGCTTCATATTCTGTTTTTACAGCTTTGAATCTCTATCTTGTTTTACATGGTGATGTATACTTAATTATCATTGTTTTGTTTTGTTTTTTTAAATAAATTCCATGATGAGACATTAAAAAAATATTCTCTTCAAGGACTCTCTACCCTTGAGGGAGTCAATAGCTCCTCCTAATGTAGTGTTATCTGCAAATTTATTTAGTATGCATTTGAGTTTCATCCAGATTGTTTATAAAAACAGTAATGAGAACTGACCCTAAAATGGAGGTCTGCAGTACCCAACCAGTGACTGGCTGCTGGCCTGTTGTAAGCCTGTCACTGAGTGTTAGTACATCTAGTTGGTCTAATGAAAAAATTCCTGTGCAACAGCAGTGTATATTTATGTGGGTGTGACAGAAAGCAAGCTCACTTTCTGTGGAGCATCTGAAATATGGAAATGAGATACTGAAGTGAATGGTCTATTGCCTTATTCTCATGCAGTACATTAGTAATGAACTTCACTTTTTATAGCTGGAACAACTCCAGGCAGCTAAGGCTGGGGTTTGTTTTTATTTTTTATGTAAGTTTATATATGATATGTATAAATATATACATAAAAGGCTAAGAGATTGATGGTTAAGAGCGTAGGCTTTTTATTGGAAAATGGAGACAGATATACTTATCTATATTTGATATTTTAAGGACTTTCTTGGGAGTCTTCATCTGTTCAGATTAGTACTATCTCTTCCAATATTTATATATTGAGCAAATAAGCAGTGTCAAGTGTTCTAGACAAATGTAATACTGCCTGGATCTAGCAAATACCTTCTTTAAACAAACATGTTTTTAAACTGAGAAGATTCTTTACAGAAAAAAACAGCAATGCTTTCTTTGCAAATACTGAAGCTTCAAAAAGTGTTGTAAACTGTAGCTTATATTTTAACATCAAAGAGTTACAGTTTGGGTTTACTGTGGGAACTGATATGCCCACCTCTCTACAAATAATTGCCTTGTACACTGACGTGCCTGTAGGCTATGGTCAAAACATTTACTTAAATAAACATAGGTATTCCATTTCAGTTCTTGTAATGTTTTCATTAGACACGCTGCATATTTCTGGCCTAACAGCATCTGAATGAAATCTTACATGTAGAATTATAATTTACTGTGATAAATAGGAGGTTTTGTTTTCAGAGATCAGAGGCTCTTCTCACATCATGAGCTGGCTGATGCAAACATCTTGCAGTTGTAAGCAGCTAGGCTCCTGCCTAGTCCCCAGCTTTTACTTTTCCACAGTAAGGAGCTGACTCCATGCTTGCTTGCTTCATTTTTAAATCTGCAAGACAGTCTGTCCAGGCATGAATAAGGGAGCGTCTTAGTAGCTCATTTTGTCATGTGGAAGTTTTTGCATTATATTTTCATTGCTTGTTTCAATACCTGTTTTTTTCCTCAGTGTTTTACAGTTATTTACTAAGCAAGAGAGAAGGGATGCCACAGAATATAATTTCCTTTATTTCAGTGATGTTTGTTAATTGTGATGTGCAAAACCTAGATTTTAATTGTAATTACTGTGTGTGAACATGGGAAGAGAATCACAAAAGCAGGCATGCGGTAAAAGTAAGCTTACTCTTTCTAAAACTGAACAGTGGCTGCTGATGTATCTGATTTCCCAAGCCAGTGTGACATTGATTGTCCCATTATTTGATAGCTATATCATGGAACTAGAGGACTCCTTATGATGCTTCAGGGTAAAATAAAGCAGTTTAGGAATGGTGTCATTATTCTCCTCTCTCCCACGCTGCTTAACTCTGGTAGGACTGTAACAACTGAACCTTCATTGAAGATTTTGACAGGATGATCATCTGTAAATGGAAAATGGGCATACTTTAAATTCTGACAATATAAGAAAACTGCCAACCTAAATAATGAAGAGGGTCACGCATTGTCAGTATTGCAATAACATTCATATTCTGTGGCAGTCAAGTTGCTGTCTATGGCAGTATAGGTATAGTTTTCTTATGGAGCTATGGGCTTTTCATACTTATTTTTATGACACTTAGGGGGAAATGAGGCATGTAAGAAGGCCTTTCTGTATGGTCTGGTCCTACCATGTTTTTTTCTTAGACTAGTGCCTGTTCTTCCAGAAGTTATTCTAAGGTAAAGAGAACAAAATGTCTATAACTTGTTTATTGATTTGTACATACAGCTGGTAAAGAAATGGTCTTCTCATTTCAGGAGGTAAAAATAAAACTTCATTTTTTGAACAATGAGAAAATATGGAAGGCTTAAAAATTCACAGCAGAGATGCACAACATGTCTTCTCAAAATTGCAAAGCTTATTAATTTATTTTGGACACTGAAATCTGTGCTGGACTCTAGCAGCCCCAGCAGCAAAAGACAGAAGCAACCATGTTTCACATCTGTTCTGTGCCTTCTTACCTCTGAATACCAGTGGAATAAATGAGCAGATTCTTCAAATGGTTAAGTTAAAACTGGACATCAGTGCTGTTATTCAGAAAAGCACGATCACAGAAAGCTTTTCAGTCTTTCAGACCAACATATCCACAGCTGATGCCCCTAACAGGGGAAGGTTTTAGGAAACAAGAATTTCTTTTAGCCCCATGCCTCTGAAAAGCACTTAATTCTTTAGCTTCTCATTTTCTTTCTCTAGGGAACTTGTATTATAAAACAGAAGAAAAACAACAACAACAACAAAAATCTCCAGAGCCTTCGAGTGCTCTGTTTCCTTCATGCTTGATGCAGAGGATTATGCTGTGAACTCACAATGATTGCATCTGGATTTATACTTCTGTATTTTTTATATTTTAGTTTTGATTGCAGTATTGACTTCCATCTGATCAAAGCCTCAGTCACACTGTTAGTTAACCCCATCGCTACTGAAATGGTAAATTAAACAGAAAATCTGCTAACTGCTTACAAAAGCCTTTTACCACTCTTTAAGAAGCCTTAAATGTGCAACTCAGTTTGTCTGTTCAGCATGTATTGGATTTGCTTTTGTCATTTGCTAAGTACTCTTAGTCTCTTCAGAGATGGGGAATATTTTCCCCAAGTGGGTACGAGGCTGTCTTTTTGAGTTTGGTATTCTTAACCCTGGTTGGGCTTTTTTGTAAGGAGAAGGGACTGACAGGAAAAAAAAATGGTCATAGAGTCTATTTGATTTTTATCTGTTTCTGAAATTAACATAGAAAATAATCTTCAGATAATCTTCAGTGTATTGCCCTAAATGTACTGTGGTTCTGTATCTTTGTCTGAAACAGAATTTTGGCAAGGGACCGATGAAAGACGAAGATGGGGAGGAGGAAAGAGTAACTGGGACAGTTGATCAAAGTGTATCAATTCATAAATAAGGAATGTAGCATGTTTTGAATATCTGAGCTTGTAGCTTGAACCCCTGGGAAGGCTGGACTGCAATGATTGCTGCAACATCTCGGATGATAAACTGGCATGGTAAAGAACTTGTTTCGTAAGAAAAGAAATACTTTGTGCTACCTTATAGTAGAAGTAACTTTTGCATTTTTGGGGAGTTCAGTTCAAAAACTGCATTTGTCTCTGCCTATCAGTTTTCTGCCATATATTCAAGTTTCCATGTTTTTATCTCTTATAGTATGGAAAGGCAAATTAGGAAAAAAATCCTGCACTGAATCACAGCAAAGAGCTGTGGGCTTTAGGCTGTGTGTTGTGCATGTGGGTTTTGTTGGTTTGTTTGTTTTAAATACAAGAGTAGAGCTTTTATATTAGACTGTTAGGGCTATGAAGCAGCTGCTAATATTCATCCTAAAAATTACCAAGTGTTGGAAAAGTTTGCTTTCCCATCTTTCAGTGCTTGCATATCTCATTTAAATCTGCTGCCTTTGTGGGGGAGCAGGGACACTGGATTCAAAAGCGGTTGTTAACCAAATCTGTTGCTGGGATGTCCCTGCATTGTTTATGAACACCTGTCATCCCAACTTGTTCTTACTTGCTATGTTTTAGAGTCTTTTTCTTTAAGCGGTGTTGATAAGATTACAGAAGGATAGTTTGCAACAAGTATGTTCCAAATTTATCCCAGTAATTGTAGATTTATTTGCCTAATTTACTCTCAACATTTATCTAAGGGAGTATATTATTTTTTTTAAGGTACATAACAGCTAAAAAGCAAATGGTGTGAGCAGTCATGTAAGCAAGCCTCTTAACCATTCTACACATAATACCTTCCTTGGTTTTAGAGTACAGCAGCAATTGATTTCATTTTTAAACTTCAAAGCATTTTTGTCCTGCCATGGGACATAGACACAGAACTAGTTATGAACACATGACAGTTGAATCAGTCAAACTTCATTTTGTGATGTCCTCTCAGAATAAGCTAAACCAGCATGTCTGTTTTGTAGATTATTCTTTTAATGTAGCTCAGACTTGAACATCAGTCCTTTACCTTCTCTTCTTTCTCTAACTATACTGCGTGTTAAAATTCTATCCGTGTCACCAGAGTGTATGCATAGGTTTTCCATTTGTCATTGAGAATGGAGATTCAGATTTTTTTATTATTATTATTTTTTATTGTAGTGGTGGTGGTCTTTTTCTTGGTGTTAATGGTTTGTGTTCGTTTGTTTTAAATAAAAGCTGTGTGTTGCTATTAGGATATAAGAACAAAATGATTGCTCTCCTCTGAATACTGGAAGAGTGATAAGGTGCTGAAAACAGAAAATAAGCGGTTTAACAAATACTAGTTCAGGTAGTTTATTTCAAGTAGTGCAGGAAGAGAGGGAGAAGGATGAAGAGAAGAGCTGCTTCAGCATTTCAGCAAATTGTAATTGAATGTCCTAAAAAGGTGAGTTGGTAATTTTTATTTTTTATTTGAAGTCTGTGGTCAAAATTTTCAGTGATGCCAATGACTTAAGAATTTCCATCACCTTTGAAAACGGATCACTTCGGTTTCCATGTTTACGATAAATTGTAATCTCTAAGGTTTTAGGGAAAGACTACTCCTACCTGACTGAGTATGCTGGAGTATATTGAGTATGCAGACCACACAGAAAGGTGGTCTGTGACTACATAATGCAGACTGTCTTGCTGTTTCTTCTAAAACAGGGAATTTTTCACTGTTGTAGGTGACACAGACAGCTACTAATATTTTTCTTAGTTATGTAGTTCTTGAAGCGAACAATTTCAGAGCCTTAATGTCACAGGCACCAAGAAAGAGCTGCTGAACAGAAGGCTTTTTCAACCTTCAGGTTATCTGTCAGACTTCTGTTTGAAATAGTGCCTCAACCCACCTGGTGGCACTCTGTAGATACTGATTATTGGTTGCTGAGATGGTACAGGTTTCTCCAGGATTCTTTAAAAATAGGTGTTAATTTAGGGCACAGAATCATCCTGAAAAGTAGCTTTCCCTTAAGATGATTTTTTCTACTAATTTGTGTATGAAGTTCTGATGTTCAAACTGTTTCTTTACTCGTTTCCTGATGAATGTGTTTAAGTATTTGCTTAATTCAGCTGTAGGATTTTGCAGTTCATCAGAAAGAATAGCTGAATGGATTTTCCACTGAAGATCAGACAGGAATTCTGCTTAAATTTTTCCAGTTTTTTCCTTTATTTGTTAATATTCTATAGAAAGTTCTTGTCTGTCATACTCAGCCCTGGATCTACTAGAATATCCTCATATTGATCCTGTGTGTGTGTGTGCTTTTTATTCTTTACCATTTTCTATCTCCGTAAAAAAATTTTACATCTTGAGTTTTAATGTAGACATATGACTATGCAGACATATGACTACTAATAAACTGACAAATGTTCATGTTAACAAGACAGGCTCTCCTGTAGCAAGTAGAATGCCTTAATTATTAATTGACAAGGAAAACTCTTAATTAACAGAATTCCTCAAACATGCGTTATGAAGCTATGCTTAGGCATTATGTAGTCACTGGTATGAAATCAGAATCTGAGGATAACAGACTATATTTAGGTGCTAAGAATAAGAGTAGATTAAATCTATCTATTAGTAATAAAAAATTTCCTGCAAGGTACATGTTTTTGCTAAAACACGTTATTTCAGTAACTTTGCATTCTTTACACTTCATAGGCTGATGCACAATCCAAGATCTAATTATGAACCAGAAGGCTTATAATGTTCAGTACTTTCTAGGATCTATATTTAGTGGATAGAAAAAGAAGATTTCTGTGTTTGTTGTTTGTTTTTGTTTGTTTGTTTGTTTTGTGGTTTTTGTTTGTTTGTTTGTTTTGTTTGTTTTGTTGTTGTTTTTTCATATATTTGTTCATTTAGAGAAGGAAGTGATTGTCTGCTCTGCCCTGCAACTATATCCCTCCCTTAGATGGAAAGGGCATAGTTCAGGGGCTCACAGAAAGGTGATGAATATTTTAATTTATTATCCAGGATATCTGGAGCACTGAGTAGGGATAGGTTATTTGTTGGATTCTGAAATAGATGGGGCAAGCAATACATTTTTCCTTCGTTTTCAAAGGTATTTCTAAATCTGAACTCTAAAGCTTGTACCTTTAATATTTCGCATCCACTATAATGAGCTACCTGGTGTTACTGGAAACAGTGGTTTCCCACGGCACCCTGTATGAACAACGACACCACCTTCACAAACAGATATGTCATTTGAACTGATGACAATTCAAGAAGAAAAGAAAATTAGTGGCTCTCTGAAGGTCACACTGAGCCTGATTTTCGTACTTTGACATACTTTGATGAGTGATGTTGGGCAAGTTATTTCCCCCGGTCTGTGCTTTGGATTTTTTTTTCCTGTTGTAGTTTAACCCTAGCAGGGAGCTTAGCACCACAAAGCTGCTTGCTCACTCTCCCCATATGGGATGGGGAGAGGATGTGAAAGGTAAAAGTGATAAAACCTGTGGGTTGAGACAAAGACAGTTTAATAGGTAAAGCAAAAATTGTGAGTGCAATCAAAATAAAATAAGGAATTTGCTCACTTCCTCCCTTCATCAGGCAGATGTACAGACATTTCCAGGAAAACAGGGCTCCATCATGCATAGCAGTTTCTTGGGAAGACAAATATCATACCCCCAAACATCCCTTGCTTCTTCTTTATTTACGCACAGCTTTTATTACTGAGCATATGTCATATGGTATGGAATATTCCCTTGGCCAATTGGGGTCAGCTGTCCTGGCTCTTTTCCCTCCCAGCTTCTTGTGCACCCTCAACCACCTTGTGGGCAGGGCAGCACCAGAAGCTGAAACGGCCTTGGCTCTGTGAGAGCCTTGCTTTGCAGCAGCTGAAACACTGGTGTGTTATCAGCGTTATCTTATTCTCATCCTGAATCCAAAACACAGCACCATCGCAGCTGCTGGGAAGAAAATGAACTCTGTCCTAGCCAAAACCAGGACATCTCCTGAGCTGGTAACTGTCAGCCTGGCAAACGTATCGGAAATTAGCTCATAGTAGTTTCTAGAGGAAAGTGAAATCTTCCAATAGAAAGCACCATGGAAGCACAGAAGTAGGATCCTCAAATTCTGCACTTCAGAGCAACGACTCAGAGTTTTTATCATCTGTTGTGTATTGCTGAGGACCTGGTACTCAGCAATACATAAAGTATAATGATTAATTTTTCAGATGAACTTGGAGTCACCATTATTTCCTCAGCTTCCTAGCAGGTGCCCCTCTCTCCCTTGTTTTGCAAGTTCCCAAAAAGAAATTGGACTAATACCAAAACAAATGAAAATGATAAAGAAATGCAATGTGTTTACCATGCATATCAAACAATTTCTTATCACATGTAGACTCAGTGATATCTCTGTCTGTACAGATCAAAAGTTGCAAATGAACCTAGCTCTTCTACAAGAAATACTGGCAAATGCCAATTGCTTGTTCTTCCTGCTGTAAATACTCTTTCCACAAATCATGTTAGATGCCAAAGGCTTTACAGCCAAATGAGGAAGGAGGAACTGGTGTTCTGCAGCTGCCTGAGAGTACATGAGATTCTCAAGACCTGTAATTTAGAAGTCACGGTCCTTGTACAGTTTGCGTTGTTTCTATTAAATCTTCTCCCAAGAGTATAATATACTGTATTTTCCTTGATGGTATTCCAACATATTTATTTGCCTAACTGCAGTGCCCCTGGGGTGAAATCTTTTCCCAGATTTCTTTTTTTCTTCTTCTTTCTCATTTTCCTTCCTTCTTTAAACATACAACATCCAACCATTTGGCTTAGAATTGATTTTTACAGTTAATTTGTAAGGATTGTTGTGACTGTATCTTTCTTAAAATCTTCAAGAACTTCTTGGAATACATTATGGACATACCCAACAGGAACCTGGGAAAGAAAGCTGGGTATCTTCGTAACTTCTTTTATAGAGGGTGACTGTCTTTGAGAACATTTTTTTTTTCTTTTTCCACTCCTGTCAACCTCATCTTTCAAGTGTTTCATGATAAGAATAGCAAAGGTGCATTTACATTTTACTTTATTGTCAAAGGCAAATAAAACCCTGTATTTCTTCTAGCCTATTCAGATCCTAGTAACTTAGGGAGTAAATTGTGTAGGAAATCAGTCAAACTTTCAGGTATTAAAACAGTGGTTTAAAAAAAAAAAAGGGGAGAATGAGTAGAAACAAGGTATATCATATTAAAAATTAAAGAGCGGACATTAAGAATGTCAGTGAAAGAAACTTGTGTAAAAATCCCCTTAACATTTTGTTACTTTACATAAGCAAAAATTAACAGATGTATTTTATGACTTTCTTTTTTTAATCTCATTTAGAAACATACACTGAAAATGTGTGTACATAGCCTATACATATATACACATATACATTGAGACGTTATGATGAAAATGAATATTGATTTCTTAACTTCAGTTTTCTGGATGAGTAGATGTTCTTGGGGTTTTGCTACCTTTTTGTGTATCAAGTTCTTCACAAGCTACCTTTTACTACCCTTTAGTGAAAGTAGCTGTTGCTGAAGCATGCAAAGAGCAGACAGAAGCCCTGAATGCTTTCCATCTGTAGCTTTCCCTTAACGTTTCAAATGCCATTATTTCCTGCAATAAGAAAGGCTTTGTTTTTGTCTAAGCTCAGATGTCACAAACTGTCATGAGAATGTGGTCTTATTTATATCTATTTTTAAATATAAAAAAAAAGCTAAAGGAGGACTGAAAAATCTCAACTGAATATATAGAATTTTCTATATTGAATATAGAGAATTTAATGGCTTTTCATATCACATTTTAAACTGATGTTATGATTTAGAAAATTTTCAGATGAGGGTGGCAGTAGTGTTGGTCTCTCCTTTACTGGGTCTAATTGTTCTTTACTCTCTCCCCTTACCACAGTGTTATTCTCTGCTACCGTAGCCTCCAGAGCAACAAAAATGCCGGAGCTATAGCACCATGGATTTCTAACCCTGTAGCACAGCTGCCTATTTCTGCTTTCTACAGTATCATTCTTTGGCTTTTAGTGGATATAAGTCTTCACTTAGCTTTGTTTTCCTAAATAAATGGGTAGAACTTTCTATAAGGTTGCATAGGCTCAATACCTTTCTGTTCGGTGGCATATAATTTCTAAGGATGATTACAGGCATACACAATATAATAGCATGCAGTAAGCCCGTATAATGGATGCCAGGATGATATCTTAGTTCTGCTGTAGCCGTTAGGATT